GCCGCCGGCGGCGCGTCTGTCCCACGCGCCGGCGCGTGAGGGCCTTTCCGGTCAAATTTTCAAAATTTTTTCTTCAGCCAGCCTGTTCGCCTGGTTATTCCGAGCCTACCCATATTTTTACTTTTCAATTCCGACCACGTTGAGTTTTTCCGGCGAGCTACAATGTTTCCGGCCAGTTTTTGGAGAAAGTTTCTTTTGAACAGTATAATAGTCTTGCTTTTCCGAGCCTACCCATCAAGTTTACAACAGATTCCGGCAACTTTGGAATTTTTTCCGGCAGCTACAGTGATTTTCCGGCAGCTACAGTGATTTTTCAGAAAATTTTTCTGCTTTTTCCGGCACGATATTATAATGGAATCCGTATCGGAAGCCTTTAGCTCACAATCCGTTGGATCTAATGCATTGAGTCCCATCCAAATGGTTTCTACCGGATTATATGGAGTTCCTTCAGTACAAAGCACGCAAACAGACATCTTCAGGATTAGCCTCCGTTGTTCCAACAAATAGTAGCATGACTGGTGTCTCCCAATCTTCACCTTCTGAGTCTTGGGTCATTGATTCAGGTGCATCTGATCATATTTCTGGTAATAAATCTCTTTTCACTAGTATCTCATATTCTCAATCTCTTCCAACGGTCACAATGGCCAATGGGTCTCAAGCCATGGCAACTGCAATAGGTCAAGCAAGTCCACTTCCTTCCTTACCTTTAGACTTAGTTCTTTATGTTCCTGGTAGTCCTTTCAATCTCATAGCCGTTAGTCGCTTAGCTAAATCACTTAAATCCGCTGTTTTATTTCTTGATGACCTTGTTTTTATACAAGAACGCAGTACAGGGCGGATCATTGGCACCGGACGTGAATCAGATGGACTTTATTACCTTATCCTTGCAAAATCACATGGACTAGCATCTTGTCTTCCTCCAATAACTTCTCCCGTTATTGATTCACCAGATTTATTACATAAACGGTTAGAACATCCCAGTCTGTCAAAACTTCAAAAAATGGTACCTGGCTTATCTCACTTGTCCACTCTAGAGTGTGAGTCGTGTCAGCTCGGTAAGCATACCCGCTCTCATTTTCCACGGCGTCTTGACAATCGAGCAGTCACCTTTTACGTTAGTCCATTCAGATGTTTGGGGTCCTAGTCGGGTTTGGTCAGTTTCATTGATGATTATTCCAGGTGCACTTGGATATTTTTGATGAAAAATCGATCTGAGTTGTTTTCTATTTTCCAGACTTTCCATGTTGAAATTCAAAATCAATTTGGGGTTTCTATCCTCACATTTCGTAGTGATAATGCCCTAGAGTATTTGTCTTCCCCATTTCAGCAGTTTATGAACTCCCACGGGATTATTCATCAAACATCTTGCCCGTACACATGCGAACAAAATGGGGTAGCTGAAAGAAAGAATAGACATCTTATTGAAACTGCTCGTACCTTACTCATACAATCTCATG